TGAATGCATATAGTCACGCTTTGTTATTTCTGACACAACAGCATGTACAAGACTTTGTTAAGGACAAGGACATAATTCAGTAGACTTTAGACACAAAGAAAAAAAGATCACTAATATAATTATCTCATAATCAAAGAGGTTAGAAACTAGGCTATTGCACAGTTTATTCCCTATTTGTCATCTCCAGAGAACTAGGTAACTAGTCAGTTGCTGATCTTACAGATAATTCATATAGAAATTCACTGCTGAAATCACATGGCTTTACAACATGTGCAAAGAGGTATCTGCCACAAAAGCAGTTCCCACCAGCAACTCTTGAAAAATTGGCCAAGTTTTCAATTACTCCTGTAGACAAGAGATGCTATTTACAATGAAACTTTTTTTCATAGTTGTTTCATGCAGAGTAACACATTTTGCTGTTTAATCAGCTTTGTAATCACTGATTTCAAGGATTATAAATAACAGAGCTGAACAAGAGCGTTAACCAAATACATTTTCAGCTGCACATAAATGCTCATGAATATATTTTCCCTTATTCAGCCAGCTTAATGGAGATTTAAGCAGTATGTCTGCAAACAATACATTCAGCTAAATCTTAAATAATGTTTCAGCTGTAACTGAAGGAGATGTCTCCTGTAACTTGGAAGAGGTTGGTATTTTCACCTGGCAGGTATTATCTTAAAACGAATATACTGAACATATGTGGAGACAGGAGACTGTGCCTTATATCCATGATTAAGGATTAATATTACTTTATCTTAGTAATTACATTTTTAATGAAGATTAAATATTTAAGCGGGGGGGAACTTTACTCATTAAGCTTTAAACACCATCTGAACACCATATTTCAGCGCGTATAATTTTTTTTTCCCCAGTGTTTCTAACCTTTTACATTTCTGTCAAAATTAAAGTTAATCTAGACTGACATCATCCATTCCAGACTAATTTCTAATTCTATAGCCTGGAAAAACCCTAAACTTGGTGGAGTGAAGTTGCATAAGTTCAATAATTGGAAAGGCGATTTGAACTTTGCAGTTCAAAAACTGCAAGGTGATAAACTGGGAAAATAGGTGAAAGTACAAGACACAGGAATGTTGGTCAGAGATTGTGACTGGGGAGCTGAGTAAGCCAGAAGGAGATGAGGAAGGAAAAGCTTAGTGGAAGGACAGCAGAAAGCTCAAAAGAATGAAAAGACTTAATCAACAGAAGCAAAGGCTTCAGGAAAAAACTATTTGAACAAAACAGAAAGAGAAGACTCAAAAATACTATTTAAGTGACAGAAATGAAAGGAAAAAAAGAAAAGAAAACTAAAATATATAGCCACTTAGTGCATTTTGCTGGTTGGTGGGGTTTTTTTTAATATTGTTTTATTTAACTTTCACTCTTTGATTTACTGGTGATTTGGCTGTTTTTAGCTAAAATAGTTAGAGATTTCTCCTTTGTTTTCTATCTTCTGGACATGAAAAAAAATTCCCTCAATGCTTTCAAGAAAGATACACTTACACACACAGGTACACCATTTAAAAAGGTGACAGGGATAGAGGATCAAAATGGTTACACTCAGAAATACTGAATTTATGTAAGAAATTAATTCTCATTAACAAACCCTAACATGAAATTCAGAAGTGTTAACGTAGTACAACACACAATATAGGGAAACTATCCAAAGTCCTAAGAAAGCATTTTCCTCTAAGAAAGACTGCTGCCATCAGTGATGCAAACTAGATGATTTAGCATCTATCAAATCACACGGGAATTAGTTCTAATGAAATAGACTTTTTTAGACTCTAAAAGGAGAGAATTAGGATGTCTCTCCACTGTCGCTCTTGGCATCTAGAAAATGTCTCTGTTTATTCTGTCAATCACTTCTCCTGGCACAGAAGGGGCAGCAAAAGTAAAACACACAAAACCAACACAGTAATTGCATATTATTTGGGAAGCTGCACCCAAATTCCCCAATGAGTGCTTCTCTCTCAACTGCCACCTTCAGCACTTTTAAGGGAAACTTTAACTCACATCTGGGCATTTACTGATGTTCCATTCTCACACTGTCCTGGTAATCTTCCCCTGTAAAAATGACTGACAGCCTTACCTAGAGTGGGATTTCCTACTTTTTATGCTTACTTTATTTATTTTTCAGCCCTGGTTTTGCTGGCTCCACTGGATACTTTCACAAGTCAACATAAACTAAGCCCACCCAATTGGTATGGGTCCCTGCCAAAAGACAACGTGTTCTTACATCGAGTGGTAGAAACTGGGTGAAAAATGGTGTGGGGAAGTAGAAGAGTGTGGAGAGACAGGATATAAATGTAGGAATTAAGGCATGAAATACCAATGCTAATCAGACCTTTTCCAATTCTGTACTGTAATACTTCATGAAGATGGCTTCTTCACCAAGGGGTGAGAGTGTTGAACTCTATAGTTAACAGACCAAATCAAAAAGCACCCTAATTCTCACCTGATTCCTTGCCCTGTTTCATAGCTCTGTCAAGATACTTACTTCAATTGCAATTCACAAAGACTCCAAATTTGGTAAAATTCAAATCTATTCCACTCTAAGCAATTTTTGGAAATATGACTTTGATCTATTTATAACTCATATCCCATTTATGAGTAACATTTAGCAATAATACTAGCCTTGTGACTGGGTAGTCAGTCACAAGGGCACTTCTTTTCCTTTAGCTTAGGTGTCAAGACTGTGTAGCACCATGGGTATCTCTGTCAATTGAAACTAATATAATCACACAAAATAATTATAAAGTAAAACCAAAAAAGAATGCAAAAGGGATTAATTCAATGCAGATTATCTTTTAAATGAACCTAGACTGTGAAATGCACTGTGGCAGGATATAATTTTGGTAAGTCCTTCAAAGATTTTAAAAAAGGATCAGCATCTACCCTAGCTAAAATAAAAGTGAAACAGTGAGCCATCGTAATTAGGGTAGGTCAGGATACGCTTTCCACAACACAAGTCAAAGTCTGCCTTGCTTCTCCCTGCTAGAACCTGGAGGAAGAAGTTCTCTTCCTTATACAGCTTCCCCTATACACAGACTGGCTAAAAATCTGCATCAACAGAAATGATATGCACAAACAGATGAAAAAAGAGCGTTTTCTTTAGTTTTGTCTCCTGCTCCCCTCAAACTAATTATTAATGGAAAACACTAGTAAAAACTGGTACAACAGAAGTTGTACTTCCACTTGTAAAAACTGATTGGTACTGTCACTATGTGCCATGAAATAATAAATAGTTTATCAGACAATTCTGAAACTCCTGCTTCCTCTCTTCGTCTTCTCCGTAAAGAGTAAAAAGGATGACAGCTTGAGGGGTCGCTCTAAACGAGAACCTAAGACTCTCCAAGAACCCTTCTCAGAGAATTCAATAAAAGTATTATACATTTCTTTTCTCAGGGGAAATAGACCAATAGCCATAACTATAGGCAGGACACAGAAACAGATGTTTAGAAGGAGACCTGTCTATAAACCATTTGAAAATATGTCATTCTTCAGCTAACGCACTGAAAACTACATGTTTTGTGTCAACCTGTTGCTCAGCCAAATCACAGTGAGTTCTTCAGGTAAGAAAGAACATCAGTTTCTGTTGAACAGTGTTTAGAAGACAGACATGGGATTGAAGAAGAACCTGGAATATCTACAAGCTCTTCTAAGGAATCACAAAAATATGCGAAAGTGAGGGGTAAATCCAAACCGCTAAGGAACTACCCTGGCAGAACAAAGTCAAGATTAAGGTTGCCGAGGAAGCCACGTAAAGTGCCAAAATCTTTGGATAAGAACTTCATAGAGGCCCTGTAAACTCAGATGTCACTATACTTAGTAGATTTTCCAATTCTTTTCTTTAGGGAACTATGTTGATTAAAATAGTCCGAATTTCCATCAGCCACAAGAATGGATTTGTGAGTAGAAAAATTATGCCAAAGTCAGTATCAGATAAATCAGTATTACTTCAGGACCTCTTTAAAGGCCTCCTTTTTGCTAGTGGCATCATGGAACCAGCTTACTTTTGAAAGAATACTCTTCACATTATTTCCAGCAGAAAAGATGAGAGATGAGTCCGTTTGACTTTAGCACTGTGTGATATTATTTTTTATACTGGTCTGAAGGAGAATCAGGTAAGCAGGAACAACAATGATTCAAGCAGCAGGTGCTTTGAAATGCAGTCATCGGCAATCTCGTGCAACGTGCTACTAGGTGACAAAGCACACCACTAGATAATGATCTGTGATTGCATCCTCATTGCAAATTCCACCAACAGATCACAAACCCTTAAGTTTTGATATTGTTATACAGCCATTTCTGTTGACTTTCAAGAATCCATTCCTCTACACAGACAACATACAGCAAGAATGTAATACTGCTGAAATGGATTCTGTCTTCATAGGTCTGCACAATTGTTTTCATATTTTAAATTGTAAAAGTTTGATTGGTATGTGGTACACAAATGCTTGAATGCCTGATGTAGATATTTATTTGCCATCTCTACCAGTTAGCCTTTTTAGTTATTTTTACTAAGGCAGTTGTTTAAAGTCAGGATGAGAGTGATGTTTAAATAAGTGCCTAAAATACTGGTACTTACTGGGTGAAAAATCTGAGACCAAATTTAATTCTCAAGTCACTACAAACCCAGACCTTGGGCACAGTCTGTGATAGCATGGCCTGGGGGGGAGATGTTCTGAAAGCTCATTTTTCACACAGACCATGTCAGTATTCCAGGTGAAATAATGCCATAAAAAGGATCCCCCAGTATCATTATCAGTTAGCCCTGCTGCAAACTTGGGGCAAGAATAGCATCATGGATGGAAGTCCTTCAGCAACAAAGCCAGCCTGTAGTGAACCTACAGTGTCAGGGAATTTACAGTATGTATCATAAGTTAGCTCACTTAATGAGGGGAAAATGCTCAGGACTTCAGCTTCTACTACACAAAGGCTTTTGTATGTATTGTATCCACCACATGTTCTGAAGAATGAAGCAATGAACATCTTACCTTGCATTGTTGTTTTTGTGGGTTCTGAAAACAGAGGAATGAGCAGGAGGTAGATGAGGTAGACAAAAGAGAGCCCATTGTAACGGAAAGCACAGGCTGCAATGAGAGAAAAGAAAAAGGAACATATTGCTTAATCAGCCTGGGATAATCAAATTCAATAGCACAACGCATTTCGCATTTGAGTTTACTGTTTACCTTACCAACTTTTCACTCACTTAAACCATTTCTACACAAGTATTCAAGTTTATGCTTAAAATAAATAATAAAATTAAATACACTTCTGAAGTATTTTCACAGTAATATATATTTTAAGTTTAGCAAAAGATGCATCCAAGCTACAAAGACTTTGTCCAGAATGATGGACAAGTTAGTTGTTACCTGAACTTTTTACTCTCCTCATCCATAAACTCATTAAACCATTCCCCACAAAAATATATAAGGAAGGCTAAATCAACATTTATGGGCTCTCTTTAAGAAGCTACATACAAGTTCGTTATATTACAACTAAGAATTATTGGTAAATAATGAAGAAAAATTATAAAGTATATTCAGATTCCAAATTACAGCACGCTTAAAATCAGGTTACCCTTAAAATAGCAATGTTTTTAAATCGTTACAGATGTCTTCAAATTTTACTATCACCCATTTGTTTGGTCATACAAATTTCTTCCAGTGAAAAGATTGTGAACTACAAATGAAAAAGGGCTTCACAGCAACTTGCAACTGGTGTTACAGAAGTTTTTGTAAAGAATGGAACTACTCTGCTAACTTTGTCTAATATTTCCTTTTCTATTTTAAAAATTTAGTGTATTTTCCAGAAAGTATCCAGGTCAGCAGGCCATTACAACAAGCAACAATATTGCTACAGCAAAGGCACATCTTTTCAAAGAACGTCATGTGTATTCTGTGCTGAAAGAGGAATATATGGACTTCCATACAAAAAAAGATAAAAACAACAAAACATGACAAAGTAATCTGTAATTCCACTGTGCAGCAGATGTTGAAATATTATAAGACCTACCACATTCAAACATTCCCATGAGATAAGCCAACTGCAGAGGAGTCAGGAGATGAATTAACCTCTACATTTATTTACTCGTGGAATGTAACTACTATCAATTAAGTCTTCTCAGCTATATCCAAAACAACTTGGAGGCAGTTGTTAGTCTTAGTCCTGCCAGAAACGTGTATTCCAAAAGAAAACAAGTTTCTCCAGTCACTACTTCATGAAATTTCATGGGGACTATACTGGAAATGAGTTAACAACTTAAGCATTAATTGGTCCTCATCCTCATCACATATGCCCATTTTAGTTATAAATACAAAACTGAGAAGTCTCTCTAATAACAAACAAATCGACACAACAGCTATAGTTTTTGCTTCCCAAGTTTACCAATGTTTTGAACAACCAGCACGATTTCCTTAATAGTCCTGATAGAAAGACTCTGGATTTACACTCCATGTCTGCACCTTAGCCGAGAAATATGTTAACTTTATGGGTAAGTCTGGCAAGAAGGAAGGACAAGAAACATCTATGCTTTACTTCTAAACTGATATGATTCTGCCACCAGCCTTCAAAAAAATCTGTCAAGAACTACAAAGACCATCAAAGCTTGACAGAGGGTTTTTCAGAGTGAAATCCAGAATGCTTAAAAGCAGCTTCTCATTCGCCTGTAAGAATTTAAACTCATACTGCTCCCGTCACTTACTACTTAAGCTCCCTTTATAGCCATCGCCTTTAAACGCCACCCCAAGAATTACACCTACACTTGTAACCAAGAAAAACTGCCAGATAAATAGGACCTACCCCACTGGGAATTCTGTAAGGAATTATCAGAGCTTTAAAGTGAATGTACTTGAGAAGAAGGAGTCAATCCCACTATTATGTGCCTACTCTCAGGGTGCTCTGCAGAGAACAGGTGATGGCCATTAGCAGCCTTCTTGGAATGAATGGCAAAGAGGATGCTCCTGAGATCAGGACAAATCCATAAATCAACCTTTTAGCAAGTTTAATTTGGGGTGGAAAGAAGTTCTTTGGCATTCATAGAAAAAGGTACAACAGTGGTTCAAGGCTGATCTAAAGCCTGAAGGCTTTTCCACTTCAAGGGGGAGGATCAATGTTCTCAGTCGTTCTGGTAGCAGAATAATAGTATTAGCAGATAATACTATTATCCGTTTATTACAGGGATTGTGTCAATCAACTTTTAATTATGTTAAACAGCTTGCTTGATTTCAGTGCAGTATTATACACATTTTCTTCTTTCTTCAGAATTGAGTTTGCTACACTTCTTGTAGACCACCTAGCGCTCAGTTTTCTCAGTACAAAGATAGAAAACAGCAACTATGTGCTTTAGACACCCTCCTCTGTAAGCCGTATGTCAGTACCTTGCTAACAAGTCCATGTCAAATATTTAGAACCTCTATTTATAGCGAAGCATCCTCCAGCAAACTAATAACCTTGGCTATGCATTGCCTGGAAAACTTACACTTATTTAAGCAGTTGCAAGAGCACTAGCAATATATTTCTCAGAATTAATAAATTAAAAACCCCAGAACTTAGGTGCAACATTTTTACTATTCTCTATTGCAACTATGTCAATATTTCCATATCAAGTTTATCTCCACTTGTCTAGCACATTTCGCTAAAGAGATTAGTGCCTTACCAAGCTCACGTGCCAGAGCAAAGCACCATGATTGAACACACTTTTAGCAAGAAACAAGATTAGAAAACAGCAGCTGCACTTTATTTACATATTTACACTGCACTGCAACTTTATTTGTCAAATATATGTATTCCTGCCATGGTTTCAGCCCAGATGGCAACAAAGGACCAGGCGGCTGCTGGCTCATTCCTCCCCTGCTGGGATGTGGGATGGGGAAGAGAAAATATAAAGAAATGCTTGTGGGCTGAGACAAGGACAGGGAG